TTAGTTTTCCCCACCTAGCTCTACTCTACCCTATCACAGGCTAGGGCAAATTCTTTATTCACTAACCAAGAAAAGCAACACATATACAGAAAAACCTCCCATACCAGCGGCCCATGCCTGTAACCTCAGTACTTAAGAGCCAGAGGCAGGAGGATCAAACGTTCAACGTTGTCCTCACCTGCATAGTTCAAGACTGATTGCTAGAGGCCAGCCTGGGCTACATAAGACCTTTTGTTAATAAACCAAAACAGGAACAAAAAAAAAAAACCACAGTGGGGTAACACAAGACACTACCAACTTATGCTAGGAACTTTGGTTTCTGACCAGGTTTAAGGCCAGGAACTGACCAACTTGCTACCTACTAGTCAAATGCCCACCCCTTTCCTCCCTAACAGATGTTAAAATACTCGATCTAGTAGGCTATCAAGGAAAACAAAAGAAAAAAAAAACAAAAACAAAAAACCGAACAAGACCTCACACCCCAGTAGGGAGCCCCAGTGAAAACCCTTTGAAGCTGAAAAGCAACATGGTATGTTTATTTGTATTTTTGTGCAATTCCATCTAACTCCATGCACGGCTAGGCTAAGTGCAGGTACTCAGCTAGTTAAAACATAAATAAAACCCATCCTCAGGCCATGTCCTTCCAGGAGGAAAAGTTAATAGGCACACTGCTGCAAGGAGAGGAAATCGAAAGGCTTCGCTGACCAGAGTAGAGAAGGGGGTTGTGGTCTTAGCAAAAGCCAGCAGGAAAGAAAGAAGACCAACCACCTACCCACTGGTCCTTGCATCCACCTTCGGAATATCTAAAACCTCACACACTTAAACCCATCACGTGCATCACCCAGGTTCCAGAAAACAGAACATCAGACAAAATGATGTCGGGCTGAAGTAATCTGAGGCCTCCAGCAGGATACATTAAAAAAAAAAAACAGTAACAGCTCAATCAATGTTTCACCTCCTTGAGGCAAACAATAAGACAAAGGAAAAGAAAACATGCGCCAAGGTACCTCAGAAACTTGAACAACAACATCCTCTGAACTGTTCTTGGAATTGCAGTGACCTTCCAGCCTCTTAAAGACCCCTTAACACACACTCAGAGGCCAGGTTTCCTCTACAGACTATCAGGAGTTGAAAATGCAAAGTCCTGGCTTCTATAACCACTGTGTTACTATTAACTTTGCAGGAAAAGATGGGGTGTAGGATGTGAGACTAAGGTACCTGGTCCAACTGGGAACAACCCAGCCCTCTTTCCCAAGACAAGTGGTTGGTTCAAAACACAATTTGTGCTTAAAAGATGATGATTAGTTGTGTGAGCCCATAGAAGTGGCTCTGCTCCATCTTAACACAAGGTCAGAGAGTTCGAGCCTATTATTGCTCCTTCCAGGTCAAACAACAAGGTGTTTTTGCCTAAGGTAAAGGTGCTGTATGTTTTCCCTAGATGCTTGGGCCGAGGTGGTGTAGCTACTGGATATTTTGCTCCTCAGTATTTGAACTCTTGTTTGCTTCTTGTATCACAATAAAGTCTTTTTGCCCTCCCCTTTGGCTTGGGGTATAAAAGGACTATGGAAAATAAACTGGAGGCTGCAGAATTCACTGACAGTCTCCCGAATCTGTCCTATGTCTATTTCTTTTGTGTGTCTCTGTTGCTTCTACTTTCTCAATCCACATACCTCCCTCCAAGTATGGAGGAATTAAGAGAAAACGCTTCAACCTACCTAAAGGCCCTAGAGTAGTCCAAAGCCACAGCCAACTTCTGCCAAGGAACATTGGACTGCCTCTACTCTATTCCAACCATAGCTCACTATCACTAGTTCCTTGATTTGAGTTCCATGTTATACGTTCACAGGCATATTCAAGAGCCATTGCTGACAGGAAGAAATACATACAATTTTTGTGAACTCAAGACCCAACCCATGCAATCTACTACAACAGGGAGATGTGGGAATTAGTGTCCACTGATCATAAGCAGTATACACACCCAAGCGCTAGCTTGGGTGTTAGCAGGGGACAGGCCATTGTTGTATGAATTAAATGTGTGAATCCAGACAGATCTTCATGTCTGAGATGCCCTGGAACTGAGTCTCCAAATAACTTGCACCTGCTTCTAGCTGCCTAATTCATTTTCCCTCCCTCTCTCCTTCTTCATCCCCCTCCCCCATTACTCAAGACAAACAACACAGGGCCTCAGACCTGGTTAGAAAAATAAACCACAGCCACCACAGGAGTCTAGTCCTTCACTGGAAGTGGATCAAACCCAGACATTTAAATGGAGTCTCAGAAGAGTGAGGATGATGTCTTGGACGGAGGGGGCGGGGTGGGGGAGAAAGAGCTGGTCAGTGGGTTGGGAAGATGCTCAGGACACACGACTTCTTGGAAGGGAGGATTCCCTGGCATCTCCAAGGGGTAGCTCAGAATGGTCTCGACTTCCCCCGACAAACACTTCTAGAAACATTTGGGGAAATCTGATATAAATTAGACACGTGAACGACACAAACACGGAGCAAGAGATCTTCAGTAAAGAAAGTTCAGTGAGCATCCATCAGCTGCCCAGAAATAAACATCAGGGGTTAAGGGTGGGCAGAGCTGAGGAGGGACTGCTGACGGCTGTGGCCGGCGGGCAGCAGCACAGGGGAAGGGCTCCAAGCTGGAATTCGGAGCGTGCCCACATCAGCAGAAAAGTTCCTGGGAACAGCACTCTGTCTGGGAGGAACCCTGCGGGTCTCAGGATGCATGAGCTCTGAGATGCAGGGACCAACGGCCGATGGAGGAAGCCCAGGGTCCTCTGTTCCCGGCTGCTCGCAGGTTAAGGCGTCGGCGACAGAAGTAAAAGATCTGCTCCCAGCAAGAGTGAGTGATTCCCACGTCCAGTCCCACTAGATCTCACTATTCCCAAACCAGACACAGTCCCAGAGGGAGAGAAAGGAAGCTGGGATACCCATGCGGGGGCAGCGGAGATGGGAAACTGAGGCAGGAAAGTGCACGTTAAAGGCTGCGGAAGTCTGGGAAGACCCAAAATCAGGGTAAAGTGTTCTTCCCCTCCTCCGTTCCCAGAACACTGAGCCACACTCGAGCTACGCCCAATCCCGGCGGCCGCCGGGCTCCAGGGAGCGGGCGCCGCACAAAGCTCCGCCCGCGAACACACGACAACAGCACCCGGCGCGCCGGCCCACACAATAGCACACAGCGCGCGCCCCGCCGCGGCCCCTCGCGGGGTCCCGGCCAGCCAGGCGCCCGGGTCCGCCCTCCGCGCACACCCACGCCCGCAGCCCAGGCCCGTGCGCGGAGCACGGACGATCACGGCCAGCCCCCGCGCCCCGGGCCCAGTGAAGCGCGTCACGAGCCCCTCACTCACCCGCGGTGCTGCTCAGCAGCAGGCACAGCGGCCCCAGCAGCCACATGGCGCGGCCGCCGCTCCGCTGCCCAGCGACGTCGCTGCCCCACGGCCTCGGTCAGACCCCGCCCCTCGCTCCGGCCACGCCCTCTCGGCGACCTAGCCACGCCCCCGCCCTCCCATGCCGGAGGGCTTAACCAAGTTCTGCAAGCTCCTGGCTGAGAGCCGCCGCCTGCACTCTACCCCGAGGGTCCTGGTTGCCAGGGTCTTGCAGATCCAGTTCTTGCTGCCTCCGGGGTCAGACTGCGAGGACCTCTTAAACCCCTGCTTTGTGTTTGGCCCCGGTTTCCTGTCTTACATCCTAAGGGACGCGACAGACTTCTCCCCAGAGCCCAGGTGAATTCTTAACTGCCAAAAAGCTTTCAAGGAGAGAAAGAAGTTCAGCGAGCCTATTCGTAGGAGGAAACTGATTTTTTTCTTTTCTTTTTTCTTTTCTTTCCTTTTCTTTTCTTGTGTGTGTGTGCGTGTGCGTGTGTGTCTGTGTGAAATACAACCATGTCTTTTCAAACTCCAAGACGCAAGATGTGCCAGGTAGCCTTTGGGGACCCTATTAAAAACTCACTCCAACTCAACAGTGATTCTGAGTCTGGTTCCTGGAGCTACGGGAGGAGCAAAGAAAAAATTTTATCCTGAGATCTAGGAACACTGAGGAGTTTGAAAGTCCCTAAAACTTTACACAGTTCCCACGGTTTGTGCATTATCCACTTTTTTTTTTTTTTTAGGAAAGCGTAGTTTAGGGCTGGAGCAATGACTCAGCACTTAAGAACACTGGCTGCCTCTCCAGAGGACCTGAGTTGTGTTCCCAGCACCCACCTGGCAGATCTAACTACAGCCTCAAGCAGTCCAGTAGCACCCCTTCTTCTGAGCGCTGGGGACACTTACGTACACACGGCATTCACTCACACCCCCATGCAGAGATACACATAAATAAAAAGTAATGAGAATGAATCTCATTACGGAGGGAGAAAAACTTTGTAAATAGGCCTTTGATAATGATATTGAGGCAAGTAAACAATTGCCCGGAGGCTGTTTGCCTCTGAACCTTGAGAACAGGGAAAGACAATGGCCCTACCCTAGGGCTGCCCTTGTTTGTTTCAACTTTGGGGAAGGTTTGGGCAGCCGCTGTGTTTGTTACAAACTTCCCCAGGGACAAGTTCATGTGGTGAAGAATTGGACAGGTCTCCAGGCCAAAGCTAGTCAGTTCAACAGCCTGTAAAGACCCACACTCTGACAGCAGCACCTTAGAAACTGAGCTTCTCCAGTTAAGCCTTCAAATGAGTCCCCAGCCCAGCGGAAGCCATGTCGTCCTCCCTGAAGACCTTAAATCAATGTGCTCATCTAAGCTGTCTCCAAGTTACTAACCAGAACACTGTGTGTGTTCATTGGGTTATTGCTGGCCTCCCCTGTCACCTGGGTACCCGGTTCCTTTAAGAGGCAAACTCCTCCCACCTCCAATCTCCCCCTTCTGATCTTGCCCACCTCCACTCTACCCAAACTGATTTCATATCTCCTCTCTATGCTTCCGAAGAGGTAGTCTCTGCCTCACCCTTCCCCCTTTCTCTTTTTTCTCCTCCCCCACCACTCCCATAACCTCTTATAAGGTTATCCTTCCCAATATTAAACTCTATACCCAAGTTTCTCTGCATGGCATACTGTCTGCCTCCCACCCACCATGGTCTTCCACCTACAGGGGTCGTGCCTCCATGAATCATAACATTGGTACAAGACTCGACCAGGCTCTCTCTGTGTTCCCTCCCACGCTTGGGCGGTCTGGCTCAAGCACATGGGAATCCTGGATCCGAACCTGCTACTCCACACAACACCGACTAAATGGTAAGGTTCCCATCTCCAAGTCGGCTTTCTCTGACATTGTCTCTGGTAATTCCCCATGGCTGAGGACTGGGATCTCGTCTCATTTCTCACCTCGGACTGTAGTCCCTTGGGACACTCGGCTAGTCCTCACCCTTTGTGCTGACAAGCCTTAGGATGGCTTGACCAATCTTCTCGGTCCTTGCATTATTTTAGGGACCCCTAGAATATTTTGCTTTTTGGATCCTGTCTCTCATCACCCCCCCCCCTCGGCTCTGGGAAATGGCCTACGTACACCTTAAATAACAACCTAAAGTGGCCACCTCTACCGGCAGACCCGCAACACGAGAGTTTTCTAATTTCTGTCACCTATCAGGCAGATGGAAGTTTCTATCCAGTCATCTCATGCCCATCCACTTCTCCCTCTACTGGGCTGCCTCCCACCGTGTCTAAGCCTGTTTGGGGTGGGAAACCCCTGCAAATTCTGTCTCTGCCACCGCTACTGCCTCCAGTCCACAGGAACCAGCAAAACTGGTCTTACCCATGAGGAGGCTGCTGCAGCCCCAACCCTTCGGCTGCTGCCCCCGTACTGGTAGTGCTGAGTAGTTTTCCTGTCTACTTGATATATGAAAGAATGTGTGAATGGTGTGGCCACACAGATGAGATTCTGTTTTAAAAGAGTGATTTACATATCCTCTATGTCTCTCTTATTATTTGTATCTGTTTAAAATTTTTGCCACAGCCATGAACAACATGTGGTTTCTCTATGCAACATGTGACCGCTACCATCTTGACTAAGGGCAGCCATGTAACCAAGTCACCATCTTTACTGAGGTACTCCTTGCCTCGTCTTGCCATTTACTTATGTTTTTATCTCTAAATTCCTCTTACTGACTCTGTTACATGTATTTTTTGCACAGTGGCATACTTTTGGTAAGGCCCACCAAAGCATCCCCTCCACCCAGCCCCTGTTTAATATGTGTGTGTGTGTGTGCATGTGACCTTTGAGCTAACTTTATATATTAATATAAGTTAGCTTTAACTCTGTGTATATGTGTATGAAACTTAAATTCAACTGTGCATATTTGTACATGTCTTCACTACTGTCAGTTCTACTGTTAAGCTTCTATTGCAAACAGTTTTTTCTTCTTTGTCTTTCACAAGTATAAATCTCACTTGTTAAGTTAAAAACCAGCACAATCAAGTTTGGCCTCAGCTCTCCAGGCAGATCCTATACCTTAGTCATAACTTTAAATATATACCCAATAAACAACCCTCAAAGTGCTCAGGGATTTGGGGAATATAGCATTTAAATATGTAATTATTAAAAGGCTTTTCGTACCAGAGGAGAAGATTGGCTCCTAGCAGCAGCACTTTCTTTCCTCCAAAGAATACAGAAGACGGGTGGACACAGAATAATGTCCAGTCACTGTTCACTCAGCAAGTGAAAGTGTTAACCATCAAAACTCCTGAAGATCTCCAGACAGTGGACAGAATCGACTGGAATCAATGGCCTGGCTCTTCAGGGCAAGGTAGGTTTGTCTTCCTACAGATGTCCTAACCCACAGATCTTCTAAAGCCTGGTAAGCCCTGCACTAACAACAGAAGACAAATACAGCCTTGAAAGCCCCTGCTCTCAACCACCTTGGAGGACCCTAAGGAGTGGCTCTAGGTAGCCAACTGAGTAAGTTCTCTGCCATTTTTTAAATCAATAACTCAAGTAAAATTTTATCCTTCTCAAAGAGCTCTGATGCAATTTGTTTGCTGAGAGGTTTTGGCAGTTTAAAAATGACAACTTCACCAAACAAATTTCAGTATAACTTCTTACAATTTTTTAAAATAAAAGGTGTTTTAAAATGCAAAAGCTCAAACCAAAAAGGTGTTTTAAGATATATGAATGCAAGTTATTAAGGTATATACCTACAAGTTATAAAGGTGTGTGCCTACACATTATAAAGGTCTGAGGACAAATGAAAGTTATCAAATTTCTTTTCCTCGTTACGTTGCCATTCATAGTCTTAACATGATCAATAAAATGCCTATAAGCTATTAATCTAACTCTGACAGAGTACAACCACTGCTCAAGATCAAGATTTTAAATTCTCTTTGGTTGTTTTCTAAAGATACTTTTCATTGTGCGAGAACACCTGTCACAGCCATTCTGACATAAAATGCTGCTGTTTATACAATGTATGTGACTAAAACTTATGTTTTACAAACTCAAAGAATTCTTGTGAGTTTCGGGGAACCAAATTGAAGAATTCACCTTAAAGAGGTCAGATACACCCCTCTCTCAATTCCCTGGTTCTAAACCCTCCTCCTCAATTACCAAAACCCAAACAAATTTTTAAACTTAACCTTGTCTTCTGCTCTGCCAACACCTTGCCAGATCCAAGAGACATCAGAGATTTCCAGAACACCACAAATCCTGGACCGGATTGAAGCAACCAGCTACCCTAGGATGTGACCAGAACCAAGCTTTCTCAGGTCCCCCCAAGACTCCAACGTCCACAAATCAGCAGGAAGCAGTCACGAGAACTCGACACCCTTATCCCCTCAACCTGCCATGCCTAACTCCTTGCCATTTTATTATAAGAGAAAGGTGGGAATGTTGTAATCATAAATCTGCTGACCTGCCCTGTCACCTGAGTACCCTGTCCCTTTAAGAGATAAACCCCGCCCACCTTCATTTGTTCTCTGCTCCCCCCCCCCAGCTAAAGGAAGCTAATCTCACTCCTCCTATCCATCTCTTTCTATCTTTATCTATCATTCTGAAGGGGCAGTCTCTGCCTCTCCCTTCCTCCTTTCTCTTTCTTCTCTTTCTCTGTTTCCCCTCGCTCCTTCCCTCTCCCTCCCTCCCCCATAATCGCTTACCCTTATACCCTTCCCAGTACCCACTGAATAAACTCTATATCTAAGCTCTCTCTGCATGGCATATCTGTCTGCCTCCTCCCTGCCGTGGTCCCACCCTCCAGGGGACCTGCCAGGGTCATGCCGCCATGAATCATACCAGTTACTGTTTCAAACACAGGTCATTTATTAGAAAGCAACAGGTAACTCATTCATAATCATACAGCAAATACTGAGTCAGAACAGCTAGCATGGCTGAATCTTACCAAACCAAGATGTTACTAGGAGGTGTCAGATTCAGACTTTGGGCTCTTATGGTCACATTTAACCTTCACATCCATCTTTGAGACAGACAGTATTGTCTCTGGGACACAAATAAGGAACTGAATCTTGAAAAACAATTTTCCTGGCTCAAAAAAATCCAGTATTGAAGCTAGATCTTACTGATCCTCACAGTGATACATCAAAATAAGTTACTTACCATAGTAAACAATCCCAGTTCATAAAACAGAATTGTCTGCACCTTCAAAAATGATGTGGTCACTGGATTTGAACTACAATGACGGGAATGGCCAACAAGCAAAAGTTGATTCAGTGCTTAGTACAATTCTGTTCTCAGTAAGTTTTCTGCGTGTATCTAATGGTTGCAACTCCTACTCCCCAAAAATGCTGAGCATGAGAGTTTAAGAAGGCTGGCAATGGTGAGACAGACTGTTCTCTGGAGGTGTGATCAGATAAAACAGAGAAGGGCATGCTCTCTTTGGTTGGGGAGACAACTTGGGGCTGGTCTACTTCACCCTTGGGCAGAATGATGGAGCGACAGCAGCTGGATGTGCAGCAGCATCTAACCTGTTCTGTGTCCCACTTCAGGCTTGAACCCGAGACCCTGAGATTAAGAGTCTCATACTCTACCAACTCCCACAATAACACACCTTTAATTCCAGCACTTGAGAGTCGGAGAAAGGTGGATCACTATGAGTTTGAGGCCAACATGGTCTACAACATGAGTTCTAGGACAACCAGTGCTACACAGAGAGAAACCCTGTCTTGAAAAACATAAAAAAAAAATTTCACCTTCTTATTTAGCTTCTCTAGGATCACGAATTATAGGCTCAATGTCCTTTATTTATGGCTAGAAACCAATTATGAGTGAGCACATCCCATGTTCCTCTTTTTGGGTCTGGCTTACCTTACTCAGGATAGTGTTTTCTATTTCCGACCATTTGCGTGCAAAATTCAAGAAGTCATTATTTTTCACTCATGAGTAGTACTCTAATATGTATATATTCCATACTTTCTTCATCCATTCTTCCATTGAAGGGCATCTACTAGGCTGTTTGGATGCACACCTTACTAGACCTGGAAGGAGGTGGGAGGCCCTTGGACTTCCCACAGGGCAGGGAACCCTGACTGCTCTTCAGGCTGATGAGGGAGGGGGAGTTGATTGGGGGAGGGGGAGGGAAATGGGAGGTGGTGGCAGGGAGGAGGCAGAAATCTTTAATAAATAAATAAATAAATAAAATAAAAAGTAAATATAAATCTTTAAAAAAATTTCAAAGTCATTCTTGAGCTACCACGTGTGTGTTATTTATTTTATATTGCCCCTTTAATGAAGTTGTCTGTCCCCTTAAAGGGGTAATTTCTCACCTGTGGCCAGTCCTGAAACCAAGGAGCAGTTATAGGGAGAAAAAAATTAACCTGCAATTTATCGAGGGAACCCTTTGGACAGTTTTTGCTATGGATATAATCTTTCTTCTTCTTTCTCAGTTGAAAAAAAATGTATCCATTATGTGTATATCATAGTTAGGGTTTCTATTGCTTAGATAAGATCCTTGACCAGATCTTAGGTTAGAAAGGATTTACTTCAGCTTACACATTCTGATCACAGTCCATGAAAGGAAGTTGCTGTAGGAATTCCTACCACCAGTAGCCTTTAAGTTACCAGCCCAAGTGGGCGTGGCCTCTTATACTATTTATGCCAATGTAAAGTGCAGGTCCGGCCTCTTTTCTGGCTTTGGGATTTGGTTGCTGTTCCCCGGTCCAGCAGAGGATTGTGATCTGTGAGCCTACCCCTAAATAAATACCTATTATTATATTTAATCCTGAGCTAGTGTGGGATTTCTTTTTTAGTATCCTTCTTCATCTGGAGCCCCATGTAGACCTGAACTCCACACCTACTGGGTGGTTTGGCTTAAAGGCCTAAACAGTCCACAGCCCCGACAGTCTCCCACCCCCACCCGCTTGACTTGTTTTTACCTACTAAGCGTTTTGTTGTTGTTGTTGTTGTTTTGTAAAAGCCCCCGCCACTGTGGAGCTAACTGCATGCAGTGACTTAGAAATTTCCCAAACATGCATACCGCCCCCACAGCCACATTCCCTGCCTTGTTCCCTGCCACATGGCGACTGTGCAACTTCCAGTTTATACTCCCGGCTCCTGAGTTCTGGGCTTCTTGCTCCATGTACAGAATTGATTTAATTGCTTTTAATTTGTCAAGCAAAGTGTATTCCTTAGTATTTAACCAGTATCAAAGGTAGGGTAACCTAAGCAGCTCAGGTCTATTCATGGCACCAGGTTGCGTTGCTAGTCACGTCTCTGACACCATGACACCTGTGGGACAATAAAGATTATTACACCTAAAACAATTTACCGGACATCATACCAGGTAAATATTTTATTAATTAATAAATCAATAAACTTTAAAGTTATATAATGGCAGACAACATTACTATGGAAAATTTTAGTAACTTTATTGCTAATACTATGGATTGTATTCTGCAAGGCGTATATGGTTATAGTGATACATCCATTTATTGGATATTGGGACTCAGTTTTTTCTTCATATTATATCCTTACTTAAGAAAATGGTTTGATAACAGAGCCAAGAATGAGGCACTTTTAGAAATGATACAGTCTTTACAGACTAATAATGAACAGCTAGCTGATATCATTAATACCATCTAAAATCAAAAGTTACATGAAAAAATTAATGCTATTGAAAAGGGTAACATTAATTTGACAGACTAAATTGAATCCAAGTCAAAGGATACTGAGAAATTATCTGAAAGAATTCATACTGTTGAATTTGACAATCAAAATTTGTTTAAAAAGTTATGATAGGTTATCAGATAGAGTATCTCTCCAGGATGGCAATCTGCATGCTTTCTAAATAATGTTCAAAAATGAGGTGTTATCTTTAAAGGAAAAACTTCAGACCTTGAAATCACATGTGCAGAATGAGGACCAGAAGCTAGGTGTCTCAATGAAATCACTAGAAATATATACAGGCCAGGAGATTCAGGCTTTACAAAAGACAGTAGTAAAAAGATTTGAAACAATTGAGGAAATTATTGGAGCTGTGAGCAGGGAAAAAAGGTACAAGGACAGGATTCAACATTGTCAGCAGCTGTCAGAGATGACTTATCCAGGGTTTTAGCTTCCTACCCTGTAATCTACTCTGACAAAGCATTAAGTTCTAAAGGCCCAAAAGGATCCAAAGAAGGTAGCTGGATACCTATAGGAATGAATGATCTAAAAGAAATTAAGAAAGCTGTCGTAACTTATGGCTTGCATTCCATATTTGTTAGGGAGATGGTAAAGGCATGGGCTCCTAGCACTGAAGCACACGAGTGGCTTCAGTTAGTTTCAGCAGTCCTGGATAATGGGCCTCAACTGATGTTTAAATGTTATTCAGAGAAGAGGCAAAATTTTAGAGCAACGGGAAAAAGCAAAAGAACTTGAGACTTCCCAAGATCAAATTCTTGGTGAGAGCACTTATGCTGACCCACAGGCTCTATATAATGAACAAATCATGTCCCTATGCCACAAAGCAGCCTTAAATGCTTAAGATAGGATTCAAGAACTAGAAAAACAAGTTGAATCATATACCAGGGTCCAGAGAGAACTCTTTAGAGACTTTTTACAAAGATTAACTAAGGCTGTACAAATAGGAGTAACAGACCCAGATGCTAGATGAGTACTTATTGAGCCTCTGGCCTTTAAAAAATGCCAACTTAGAATGCAAAAAGATATTTGGGCCTTTAAAAGTTAGCTCAGCACCTATAGATGAATGGATCCTGCATACAATGAACACTGAGACACTTTATTATAATACTGATTCTTAGGCAGGAGAAGCAGTTTCCAAAGGAATGAGGAGACATCAAAATGCCAAATGTTTTAACTGTGTTAGAATAGGACATGTGAGAAGGGATTGTAGACAAGAAATTCCTAGGAATAATATCTCCTCTAGGAATGGCAAGAATAGAAGGACTTGGCCTTCAGGTATATGTAGGTGTGGCAAAGGTCAACATTGGACCAATGAATGCAGATCAACAAAAGGCAGGCAAGGCAAACCAATACCATTGGGAAACTCCTTGGGGGGCCTCTCACAGGCCCCCAACTCAGAAGTGGTCCAGTCATTCCCAGTCACTGTGGAGGCCATGTCTCACCAGGAAAATTAAAAAAATCTAGAGCCTTCTGTAAAAAACCATACTGTTCTAGATGATGGAATAAAGATAGAGGATGAATCAAAAATTACCATAGGAAATAGGAAACATATATTCTGGCAGACTTCTATAAATGACCAAAGACCAAAGCTAAGAATGCATATAAATGGCATTGTAATTGTGGCTTTAATAGACATGGATGTGGGCATGAGTATTATTACTTCAGAATCTTGGCATCCAAATTGGTCTCTTCAAGAGGCAGATGCTCAATTACTAGGAATTTGAACCTTATCTCAAGTAAAACAAAGTACAAGAAGGGTTGAATGCATAAAACCAGAAGGACAGAGAGAAAGCTGAGGCCATGTGTAGCTAATATTGCAGTGAATTTATGGGGTCGTGACCTATTGCAGCAACAGAACACCCAGGTTAACATCCCTGCAGTCCCAGAAACTCATAATTCTGGAAAGGATATTATAAGGTATTATACACAATGGTCACCAGCCATTTAGGCTGTACAAGAACACAAAGCAACTAGCAAAGCTTTAGAGGTACCAATAGCCCTACCTTTAAAATGG